GAGATAGATGGTGTATATGAGTCCACTTGTCACACATCCAAGTTTTCAGTAATGATCTGACCGGAGGAAAAAGCACAGCAGGTATGGTGAGTAGAGAATCACACTTGTGCCTCAGAGTGCCATTGCCACAGCGGACTGACTCATGCTGGAGCATTGCTTTCTCTCCATTGTCAGGTAGCAGAGCTAGCTCAGAGTGATGCTGTTGTCCTTTTCAGCCTTTAGTTCATTCCAGCAGTCATCAGGAGCTTGTGCAGCTGCTTGGCAGAGATTGAAGTCCAACGATTCCTTGTCTCGGGAAAATTCTCAAATTATGTGTTAGAAATATATTAAAGACAGCATTGCACCCATAAGTGGATTATTTCTTGGAAACAGGTCAAACTGTGTGTTAGAAACCAAGAAACAGAAGTTTCTGAAGACAAAAATCACAAAGTGGAACTTTCATTGCTTCTTTCTGAAAAGTTTTCTGCTTTCATTTTTACAGAATAGGTGTCTGTAGCCAAGCCTTGGTGTGACTCACCTTGCTGTTCCCACCAGAAACAGATCAGGCAGGACTTGTTTTCAAAGTGGTTCTTTAGACCTTTGAGGTGCTTTGTGCCCTGTTAGCTCTGAAGTACCCAATAGCCTAAAACTTCCATTTTTAGAACAAGGCTTCCCTGCACAAATACCCCCTTCTCCTAATACTTTTTCCCAGCAGGGGACTTCCCCTCAGATTTAAGCCTAAATGAAAATTAAGACTTGTTGTCTTATAGCAAACCTTCAAGAGGAAAAATAAAACCTTTTTGTTTTTGAGGAAATATGTTTAGATGTCTGCATTGCATTTTTGCATTGCACTGCGCTCGTTGCAGTGGGTTGGCCGCATGCTGCATCTTTCCAGCTCCTGCAAGGTTGTTGCTTAAGCAGGCAGTGTTTGCCTTACTCTGAGGTTTCAGATTGAGGTAACAAGTGTGTGTGAGCAGCAGCAAGCTGCTGGCAAAGAGACACGTGTTAGCAGAGGTGTTCACTGCCCTGGTGCCCAGTCAGAGCTCCCTGTGTGCGGAGGAGGCTGAACCTGCACACACCGGCTCTGCTGCACTGCAGGAAAGCCACCAGTGCAGGGTCACTCTTGGCTTGTGCTGTCTGTCAAACAACACTGTCATCTTCACCTTAAAAACTCCACACGTGGGCCTGAATAGAGGAACCTGAAGTATTTCCTTTCAGAAGCATCTCCTGTGACGTTTCCTCCCATAATCAGTGAGCAGGAATTCCTTCCATAGCAGCCTCAGCAGTGACGCTTTACTTCCTGGTATTCTGTAGTTGTTGGCTGAAATGATACCAACCTTTCAAGCCATAAACACATCACATTCTTTTACCAAAAAATAATACCTTAAGAAGTAAGACCTTGATATTTTGGTATGTTCTACGTAGCAAGTCATTAATATATCTAACACCATTGTATCAGAGGAAGAAATTGAAGAAATGCAATTAAACATATTCACTAAACACTTAATGTGTCTTTCTTTTTGTACTCCTACAACATCCATTTCTCAGTGTTGTCAATATTTTACTTTGCCATTGTGATCACTGTTCACTATTTACTTGCTGTATTTAGAACTTTTAATCAGTTATTAGAAATTTGAAAGATCTACAGGAATGATAAAGTGTGAGAAGATGTGAATCAGTTTCAATTTCATTTTGTTCTGTGCATGTATTGCTGTCCTTGTTAGCAGACATCCTCTTAGCTTACTGCACTCTGCCCACAGTCTAATCTGTCTTGAAGAGTCAGACACCAATCTATGAAGTAATTGTAAGGATCTTCAAGTGTCTTCAATGATCTTCTGTACTAGGACTGCAAAAGCATTTTGTTGTTGATAGATAGAATAGGCGCAATAAATCCCATTGTTGTGGTTCCTAGAACACCACCTATTAAAAAGGAACAGTCTGGAAGGCAAAGAACGTGATAAAAATTCATCACAAGTGGACTGAGGAATAATGCTACTAGTTTTGACTGCGTCACCTGGCATCACAACAGCTGTGGATTTCAGCCTTGTACTGCAAGTCACATATGGTTAGCTCTCCCTTTCTGCCTGGGGAGCACAGTTTTTTCTGGTTGTGATGCTCTGCAAGGCACTGCATTCTACTCTTCTGTGGGTTTTATTATTTGGTGAAAATATATTGCACCTACAACACTGTGCAGCTATAAAGGCATTCACTTTTAGAGTGAAATACAGTCTTATTAACCACCTCTTGAAGGACCCTGCCTGCATCTTACCTCAGAATTTCATTTTTCAGAAGACTCTCAACTAGAAATGTGCAAGCTGAGTTTTCCATTTTCAAATGTTTGAGTTATTAAAAAACAGGAGGGGATTGTATGGCTAATTCTAGCTCATTCCCACCACAGCTGGCTTGCACCTTAGTCAGCAATCTTCCCTCCCTGCTCTCTGGTCTGCAAAGTGTGCTGCCCCTGGCATGGAGAGGAGCTGCTGGCTGGGGTGTGGGCAGCCCCTGCCTATGCTGGGGATGTTACTGGGGGGTTTGCGTTAAACTGGTGCCACTATGAACTGACCCTGGCCACTTCCAGTTGCTCTTCCATCCCACTGGCAGACCCTGATCATGTTGTTTTGCCTGACATAAAGCCCTCTGGCTGCTCTAATGTAATGCATTCCCTCAGCTAATTCCCAGGTTGTTTATTATGGGCTCCATCCAACACCCATGGAAGGCAACACAACGTTCAGCTGCCTTGGCAGCTGTTGGACGGGGCATATGAAACAAGGACTTTTTTGCTATTTTCAGGGCATGAAGAGCTTGGATTACTTAAAAACTGTACAGCATGTTTTGGTCAGGATGAAAAGACAAAAGGCAGTAGAAAAAAATTACCTTTGAGATTGCATCTTCCACTTTTCAAGTGTTTTGGAGACACTTTGGAGGAAAATATATTGTTTGGTCAATGTAGTCAACCAAGCCCTTGAAATTGTCAGGAGATGGATAGACCCCCATGGGGCAGGGTTCTTCACCCTTCCCATCCTCCTGTCTGTGAACAGGGAAGCCTGTTCTCCATGAACCATGTAGGCAATGTGTTTAAACAGGACATATAGTTACCAAACTATGATTCCGTTTGTTTTTTGCCTTTTTTCTCTTATATGTTCTCTGTATTCTTCACACATATATTTGTAACTCTGTAGCCTCCTGTATTAGTGACTAGTTTTCCCAGTACTTTTCCATGGCCTTTCCCTAGGCAAAAAGACAAAATTCCAGAACTCCAAGTCCCTGGGGCACAAGGCCCCAGTGCTGTCTTGGTTATTCCTGGGAACCAAGGCTGAGAGTGCTGAGGAGAAAACTCCAAAGAAAGGGCTTCACCTGAAGGAAAATTGCATCACCACTTGCATGTCCTCCTAATTGATGCTTTTTATCAATTATGCTAATTTCCTAAAACCCCTAAAATGTATTCACCCCTGGAGGGGGTAAACTTTTGTGGACATCTTTCCATAACTGCCCCTGAAGGCCTTCAAATAAATATCTGCTCTTATATTACCTCTTTACTAAAATTATGTTGAGTTTCATTCCCAGGTTGGGAAAAAGGCAACAACTGTATGCTACCAGACAGCCATCAGTGAATCCTGGAGACACAGATGGATCTAGGATGGATCCTGTAGTTTTCCACTTGAGAAATACAGCTTTTTGGTCATTCTGGTCCAAGAACACAGGAAATTAAGGAATCAATCCTCTAGCTGCCTTGGGGAGTTCAAAGTCCTTGGGGAGAAAGGGACCTTCCCACAAGAAAAAAAAGTAGCATCAACCTAGGGGAACCTCAGTTTCTTCTTCCCAGTGTCAAACAGAAGAGACAGTAGATTAGCTTCAAATGGTGGCACATTTCTAGCTGCTTCTGTGATGTATCAATATTGTATTATTCTTTGTCTTTTAAAGTAATGGTTAAGAAAGGACATTTTATTAAATGCTCATTAGCCATTCCAGTCGTCATTATTAAACCCATCTCTGGGCGAGAGACTCCATTCTGACAGCAGTGTGAATCATGTATAAATTATTTTGCAATTCTACTTTAGTTATCCATACATCATGTCTTAGTTGTGACTGTCATTTGCGTGACAAATTCTCAGGCAGGTTTCTGTCAGTAGAGAAGGGCTTCCCACAAATCAGCATGATGTTAAGCTTCCAGTAAAACTGATGTTGCCTTTTGGAGCCAACACACTCAGGCTCCAAAACTTAAAACCCAAAGGCATCCATCATTAGTAAATGTGCTGCACAATGTGATATGTACCAACTTGCCTCAAATGAATATAGTTAATGTGATTTAACAGAGACTGTATCCAATAATACTTCTTAATGGTTAATTTAAGGGAAATGAATTTTCAATTTCATTGCCTGGGTACAAAACACAGTAATAGTTTGAGTGGGGGAATCCACTGTTGATAAAATCTCTTCAGATTTTATCTTAATTTTGAAATAAAATGGGAATTTATCTGTGCCAGACAGTTTCTGCGTTGCTTTCTGGTTATAAAGATATATGTAGAACGGCTTTGGAGCTACTGGTTTCAGCATACCCTGCGGTTGCACCTTGATCCCATTTTGGAACAAGACCAAGGGATCACAGACCTTAGCACCAGTCTGGCTTCCACCAGAGATACAAAAATTGTGTCTCATTAGGGCAGGTCCTCAGGATGACTGGGATGGAGGGTGTGCTGCAGCACACGGCTGCTGTTAGCTGTACCTTGCCACAGCCATTGCTTGCCTCAGGATTTCAAGGGCAAAATAGGATGGCAGTGAATTCTGTGTAATTACTGTTCTCCAGACTGTCAAAAGACAGTGCAATCAACATATAGATTACGTTCATTAATTTTTCCAGAGTATACCTGTAGTTCTGGACATTGTCCAAGGTTTTGGTTGATACCCAAGAGTGAACTATCATCAGAAAGCTCAATATACAGCATACTGTTCTTCTAGAGCCTCCAAGCTAATCAGTATCAATAATTAATAATAATTCATATGTGTTTGTTTTTGCTTTGCAGGTAATACTTTAACTCCAATATGGGAAAGCAAAACAGCAAACTACGCCCTGAAGTCATGCAGGATTTGCTAGAAAGTACAGACTTTACAGAACATGAAATCCAGGAGTGGTACAAAGGCTTCTTGAGAGACTGTCCAAGTGGACATTTATCTATGGAGGAGTTTAAAAAAATATATGGAAACTTTTTTCCTTACGGGGACGCTTCTAAGTTTGCAGAGCACGTATTCCGCACTTTCGATGCCAACGGAGACGGAACAATAGATTTCAGAGAATTCATCATAGCCCTGAGCGTCACGTCGAGAGGAAAACTGGAGCAAAAGCTGAAGTGGGCATTCAGCATGTACGACCTGGATGGGAATGGCTACATCAGCAAGGCAGAGATGCTGGAAATCGTGCAGGTATGTGCTGCTCCCTCCCTGGGAGCAGATTGTGAAGCAATGTTACACTGAATGAAAAACTGACAGTGCTGGTTTACAGTCTTCTATAACTGCTTGGATATAAAATGCTATTTCATTTGGCAAAGATTGTGTCACAATTCAAACTATAGCTTAATATCCATTGCAAGTTCTTCCTGAGCAACAGGCTGCATGGATATTTCCTCCCTGGGAGCTCTGGAGTTGAGCACAGCAACTAACCTACTAATAAATGTGACTCTCTAACCCTGTCAATTAATTATGATTAATTGCAGTTGAACCAAGTAGGTATACTGGAGCAGCCAAGCAGTGTACTTGTAAGGAACGCAGGCTCCCTCCACAATAAGAAGCAAATCTACTTTGAAATCATGTTATTATGAAGAAGCAGCTCAGCTCACATATTATAAAGGTGTTTTGTCTGCCTAATTCCACTGAGGTCTGCATTATTAGAATCATACTAGCTGTCTTCATACTAAGTTGACAGTATAGAGAAACCTTATCTGAGTAGATGATGATTCCATACATAGCTTCTTTGGTTGTGTTTGCTTGTGGTGTTAGTAAGAGTCCCACGTTGCTTTCTCCAACGTGTTTTTGCCCTTGAGGCACATCAATCTACTGAAAGATTTCAAACATTTTTTATATGGCAGTGTATTTACACAGCTTGAATCTGTATAATGCAGCACTGTTAAAAAAAAAAGCGCCTGTTATCAAGATCCTTTCCTTTCCCTGGAAATTTTGAAGTGCTAACAATGTACTGTATTATTCAGACTTGTATTTGCACTGAAAACCAAGGGAAGTAATGCACACAAATTACAGTCTGTGATGGCCAGCTGCATGTAGGGAGTGAGCCTAACGGGTGGTGCTCCTGTCTTTCTACCAGAGCCCTTCTCAAATCCTTCAAACAGTAGCCAATGGCAGCACTTGCACTGCTTCAGCAAGACAGGTCCAGAGCTCAGCTGCAAATCTAGAGTTTGTTGTCTTTCACTTGGTCTGTTTTGTGCTCCCATGTCTGAGTTGAGGAGCAGGACCTCCCTGTCTGCGCCGTGACAAGCCCCATGGAATATTTGCATTGGAAGATCCTCTGGTCCTTACAAATCTTTCTCTCCCCCAGGCAGGGTAAACAGACTGTCAATTATTGTTTTTCTGGCTGTATTTCTCCTCATGAAAAAACAAAAAGATTCCCAAAAGAACTAACGTAGTACGTGGGAAACACAGAAACCCAAGCTGGGTGACCGCCCACTCCTCTGGAGGAGGAGACACCCCCAGGGCTCAGGATCCCTCACTGCTGTCCTGGAGCCCAGGAAGGCACTGTGCTCACAGGCAGCACAAACCCCTGGGCAAGGGAGCTACAAACAGGCAGAACTTGGCCACAAATTTGTCCATGTCAAATGAAATGAAAATATCAGTGGCTGGATTTTCTGTAGTGAGCCAAACAGGGACCAGCAAAGCTGGAAGCTTTTGCCAGATCTGCTTGCCAGCAAGTCTAGAGGCTGAAATGCTCTGCCTCCTCTTCGTGTTTATGTCAGTACCAAATCACAGCATTGTCCTTTACAGCCATAGTGCCATCACCAAACAGAATTGCAGCTTTGGGGTCAGTGTAGGGCAGCATTCTGTCAATGTGTGCACCCAGTGCAGTCCCCCTGCCCTTCTTGGGAGGTTTGGCTCTCTCTCCCTTCAGACTGAATGTGGAACTCAACTGCATGGTGCTCATAATCTCACCTCATTTTGAGGGACGCAACTTTGGGGACCACACGAAAAGCAATTATGGAAATGAACAGCCTGAAAAGTGATTATTTCTGTACCATGGACTATCAGCAATTTTTAAACCACAAACCCTTTCTGTGATGGAGCAATAAGGCAGTGTGCCTGTAGATCTCACCCTGTTCTCTTCTTTTTTTGATTTTTCTGAATGCATTGGTCTCCCTGTATTGCACTGGTCACCAGGAGCTCCTCCCAGTGGGATGGGATTTGTTGTGTAGTCTCTGGAAGCATGTTCAGCTCATATCTGAAACTGAAGTAGATGAGCATATTTTCTAGCTTTGTTGAGAAGTTCCTTTGATGTAGAATGATTAGATACAAAAAGCCAGCAAACAACTATCACTTTAATTTATGAAAGATTATTATTTTTTCATATGGAATGACAAGATTCTGTATCAAATGGCTTCCTGGGGGCCCTCAGCCACCACAGTTTTTCTGAGAGTGAAAATCAGAACTCTTGACATATCTCTATGTCTCAAAGGAACCCATTGCAAGTCCCTTATCTAGCATACATTTTCAAATTGATAGAATGGGATTATGTTTTCATTGGGATTTTTCCTGAGACAATACATCAAAATGAATGCTGAAAGAAACACCTTTAGTCTAAAAGTCTTAGTTTAACAGAAAAATAGTGTCCCTATTACTGTGGGATTACTGTATTTTAAATAGCATAGGGGCAAGGCAGTTTCCTTCTTTTTCAGTCTGCTTTTTTTGTGCTTTGAAATCCCTCTCTCTGCAGTGATTTTCACTGTTGTGCTGATGCTTCCTTGCATTATCTTGCCATTGTTCTGGCCTAATCTGACAGCCCTGCAGGCATTGCACTCCTGCACTGCATTAAGGAGGTTGCGGTGGCAGTGGCAGCAGCAGCCCTGGCACAGCAGAGCTGCTGGTTAGGATGTCCCACAGGAGCCCCTGTGACTGGGCAGCTGCCAAGGAGAGGAAGGTGAGTGGTCCACGACAGCTTTCTCAGGCCTGTTTTCCTTGCTAGATGGAAAAGCACCTGCATTCCTTTAAGCCCTGTACCCATCATGCCATCAGCCAGCCCAGGGCACTCACCATGCCTGTCCATGAGCATCCCCAGGCCAGGCTCCAGAAATCCCTGCTTAGAGATCCACATGGAGCCAGCTGCACAGTTTGGAAGATGAAGGACTTTAGTGGTGTGCTGACAGTTGTAGAGCCTCAAAAAAGAAGGTCCACAGGACACTGCTACACTCACCAGGCACAGCACATCTGCAGACTGCTGTGGGAAGAGGCTTTATAGCCTGCCCTCTTGACAGACCTTGTCACAGCTCCTCTCAGATTCATGTCTCAAGCTTTTCATGTCTCCCATATGTTTACCTATAATTTAAATAGCCCAGTCCACTCAAAAATAGCTGCAAACCAGTTACAAGACTTGTTCCCCTTGCTGAAGCAGGACATATTTGGCTAGTCTCTTAAAATAAGAGTTCAAATGGGAGATGGAAACCTTGCTCTAAGGATACATTTTTTCACTATATGGACTCCAAAGGCATTTTAAGAATACTGAGCAGAGACAAGAATAACACTTTCAGTTTAATAAAAACACTTTCACTTGCTGGGATAGCTTATTTGCAAGCCAGGATGAAACAGAAGCTGGTATGGGAAGAAGCAAACGCTGATATGGCTCTGTAAAGGCAGTGTCAAAAATCTCCATGACATTGAGAGGAAAACAATTTTTTTCAGACAAGTCATTCACTTCATGAGACTTCTGGCCATTAGAATTTATATCAAAAGGGTAAAAAGGATCAACTGAAAATGTGTGCTGTCATTGCTGCTGCCATCACCAAAATGAGCTTTTTGCCAGTTTGCCAAGTGTACCAAGGAAAATGCAGCCCTCACCAAAGCTTCTGGCCTGAGTGCAGCAGTGGCAGCCAGCAACAGGGAGCAAAACCTGTGTGAATGGGCAAAGGGATGAGACTGCCCTGAAATCACCCACTGCTGTTCATCCACATGCAGCTGGAAAATCAAAGGAGATCAGTAGGGCAGCAGATGAAGCTGGAGCCTGTGCTTGCTCAGGTGACATGCCCAGGGCTCTGGAGGCACAATTCCTGGTGTCATTCAGGGTGCCAGGGAGCTGTAAGGGGCACTCCTGACAGAAGTTCACTTACTGAAGCTGCCCTGACTCAGGAGAGTGCTGGCAGGCATCAGCTTCCAGTGCAGAATGCCACTGGTGGTTTTCAGCCCAGGTTCTGGGAGGCCAAGAGTTGCACTCCATGTGGAGTGGAGCCCCTGCAGCCTCTCAGGGCCAGGTCCTAGCCCAGGGTTAGCACAGCCCAGCTCTGTGTAATTATTGCATGAAACCAAATTCCCTTCAGAGCTTGCTCTTTCAAACATACAATAAAGAGTTTTGTGTAGCTGCACTGAATTAACATGGGGCAAGTCTCAAGGTTCTTAATCAGCTTTAGCTGGCTTTTACTTTGGGAAAACTTCCCAATGAATTTCTGAGTAAGGACATAAGAATTTGTCCGGAGTAACCATTTTCAGCATGAAAAGAACGCTCACTATGTTATTCCCATCTGGCTTTCCTAGAATATCTCATCTGTTATTCCCTTCACACGCCTCTGTGAAAAGGACCCTGTAGGATGAAGTCATCCTGAAGTGCTTTTTTTGTCCTAAAAATCTGCATATTCTTACTATGGTTACTTTGATCAGGGTAAACATGCCCTCACTCCCAGTCTGGGGCATTCCTCCCACACTTTCAATGCAGATTCTCTGCTTTGCTGTCCTCTCACCCAGAGAGAGGGAGTGACCCCTCCACCTCTCTTCCTACCCCAGACAAAAGCCAGACAGCTTCAAATGCTTAAACACTGGCAGATTTATAAGCCTCATCTCTGCTCTGACCCTTGCAAGCCTTGCATGCTGATGAGGATGAGCAAGGTCTAAATTCTTACTGTCCACCCTCTCCATTTCTTCCTTCCCTATTGCCTCCTTCCCCCAGTTCCCTCATCCCCGTTTACATGCTTGCATGTTCATCCTTTCTTCTGTGCTCCTGGTATGAGAGTGTCATGGTGGTGTGGACAGCATCCCTGCTTCTCCTGGGGCTCTGCCCAGTACTCTGGAACACTAATTCTCCTGGGAGATGTCAAGGGTGAGCTGTTGGCAGAGGAGAGGCCAGCAGGATGGCCAAGGAAGGGGCTGCTCCCTAGTCTGAGTGTAAAATGTCTGTGCTGCTTGGTGGCATCCTCCATCTGTGCTGTTACATTCCTGGAGCCAGTCCTTGGGGATCCTGAGCCAGATGATCTGAGCTGCTAGGCAGACTGACTTCATGAAGGGAAAGAGGGGAGAGGGGTAACCCAATGAGAAATCTTGGCTTGCACAAAGGACCCCCCTCCCAAAGCAGGAGGAAAGGAAGAACAAATCACTAAAGCAGCCAGGTGACAGCCAGTGAGTTGCAGTGGGCAGCACACGGGGCCAGTTGGACCAGGGCAATGCTGCCTTGGGCTGGGATGTGCTGCCCCTCCACATGGCCACCACCCTGCAGCCCTCTGAGTGCTGCTGCTCCCAGGTGTGGCACTGCAGAGACACCTGACACAAAGCCCTGCTGTTTCTGGTGCTGCATGCTTATGTTTGCCAGCAAGGTCTGCATAACCAGTGCAGAGACAGATCCTCATCCTTGTTTTAAAATTAACCTTACCCCTCTGTCAGGGGCAGCTGGTACCAAAGGTGGCTAATGCATTTGTCTGTGCAGAGAATAGCTGTGGGTGGTAGTGGTGCTCTGTAGGACCAGAACATCTGGTCTCTGTGGAGATAATTGTGGAAGGGATTTTGAGCTGTGCACGCACACCAACCCCCAGTGAAAAGGCCACCTCCCTGATGGTCCAGTCTTTGTTATCTGTGAGATGCTGCAAATGTAAGGAGTCACTGCTCTCCCCACAGACAGGATGCTTACAGGGAGGGAGAGAATGGAGATGGGGGAAAAGCAAAGGCAGGGTGGGGAGACAGGTGTGGTGAGGATGAAGCTGTGTGCCCAAAGCATGGATATCCATCACAGCATGGGACAAGACCTTGGTGGTCTGGCTGTTCCTCCAGGCTCTGGAGCTGCCATTGCCCAACATGCTGTACAGGTGATAAATTTGTCCAAAGGCTGTTTTAATAAGGAAAAATGTCCACACCCTAGTGAAAACCCGCATGGTGTTTGCCCATGATTAAATAAAGAAACACAGTATTCCACAAACAAGTGTGCCACTGAAGAGGGAAGCTGCACCTACTGGTGCCACCCAACACCCTCCAGCATCAAAGAGCAGGTCTTGCTGGTGCTCCGAGGACATTTCTGCCGGGTTCTGTCACGAGAGGATCATTGTACCCTTGCATCAAGATGATAATGTGCTTCTCACCAGCTTTTTGCTGCTGTCTATCACACAGGCAATTTACAAGATGGTTTCTTCCGTGATGAAGATGCCAGAGGATGAGTCAACCCCGGAGAAGAGGACCGAGAAGATCTTCCGGCAGATGGACACCAACCGTGACGGTAGGCGCCCCCAGGGCCACAGCCAGCAGGGCCAGCAGGGGCGGGCGGGCAGCTCTGCACCCGGCAGGCTGCTCTCCCAGGGGTTTCCCTGGCTTCCCCAGCTTCCTTCCATCGTGCCTGCCCAGAGGCTTGCCAGGTGTGCTGCAGCCCCCAGGTGCTCCAAGTTAGCGTGTTTCTTTTCCAGGCAAGCTCTCTCTGGAAGAGTTCATCCGCGGCGCCAAGAGTGACCCGTCCATAGTCCGACTCCTGCAGTGCGATCCCAGCAGTGCCGGGCAGTTCTGAACCCGTACTTTGGATGAATTATCTATCTGTTTTTTTTTTTTATTTCCTTGCCAAACAACATTCATGGTAGTGTTGCCTCTGTATGGCCAATTATGCCTTCATTTGTGGCATCTTATAGCTTATTTTGTTGTGGATTAATTATAAGAATGCTGAATTACTCTTAACAATTTGTCCAGAGCATGGGCAGTACTGTTCTAAACAGATATTGTGGTGTTATCATTGTTTTTAAAATTTCATTTTGTTTCTTGTTTGTTTGTTAGTTTGTATGTGTTTTGGAAAGTAACATGTTGAGGAGGAGTAAACCAACAACAAACCCCTTGGCAGCAAGACACACTGACAGATTTTAGATTGCTGCTTTAGTTGTTAGGTATTCACCTGCAGGACCTGAAAGTGTAGTAAGGCTGAACCAAAGGGGTTGTGATGGGTGGGGTAGGATTCACCTGGAACCTCCTCTCCTGTCCAGGAGGCACCAGTTAAGATCAAAGACAGGACTGGGAAGAAGTATGAAAGTGCAAAATACGTGTGGGGTGTATCATTCACTCCTCTGCCTCGTTGTTTCAATGCTGTGAACACTTTCCAGGTTGTGAAGAAGGGACAAAATGAAGGTTGACTTTTTTTACTAGGTTTACAGTGGTTGAAGTCATATGGCTTTATCTGAAAATTCAGCAATTTGCAATCCTGATCTCCAAATCCACAACTGACAATACCTCTTGCCGTTTGGGATCAGCAAAAGCAGACACAGATATGAAAAGCTGGGTCTTGACGATGAATTTAAGGGAGATACATGTTGAATGTGAAATTTTCAGGTTAGTAATAAAGCAGTTGCTACTAAGGAGAGTGGGCATTCATGTGAGGAACTCACAGACACCTGCAAGCAGCTCCAGCTAAGGCACATCTGCTGTTCTCAATGCTCTTGCATAGCAGGAAGTTTTGGGGGTGTTTTTGTCTCTCTCCATGTAGCTAAAAGAGTTTCTGGGCCTGCTCTTAGGGGAAGGCTGTCATCAAAACTTGTTTTAAACGTAAAATTGTAGCATTTATATTTCATTTATTTTAGTAAAGTTCAAAAAAATCTGTACTGAAATGAGGAAATGGTACGCTTTATGATATATTTATATATATAAAAATTAAAACAAAAAAAGAACAGCTCTTGAGAGAAATGTTGAATGTTTATCTTTCCGCCTAGGTGCAGGAGTATCTGAAATTTGCTGCTGCAAAATTTTATCCTTTGGTCAAAGTTGCTGTATGCAAAGCTAGTATACACATGTGGGATTTCTTAGGGACTTCACAAGCGCTGTTGCAAGAGAAAAGCTGGAAAAGCTTTAGCAACAGGAGGCATTATGCTGACTAAATTGGCATTAATCAGTCATTAGCTGAAGTCTGCTTTGTGATCCTGCTGGAGAGCTACCCATGCAGGCAGGCACGGGGTTGGGAATGCATGAGCTCGTTAGAGTAACCTTTGTCTGACAGGCAAAGCTGGCATTTTGTCAAGTGACCTTGTAAATGCTAATCCCCAGTAGCCTTAATTTAAAATAAACCAAGTAAAAGAAGTCTGCTTTGCAGATGATGATTAGCTGAGTACTAATTAGAAGTCACGAATGAGTAGTTGAGCATAAATAATCTTCTGTGGAACACTAGCTAGCATGTACAATAACTGACAGAAGCAATCCTATACTTAATTTTCCCATACCATTTGCTTTGCTGGGTGTTAAGGGCAAAGCATTTTAAGAGAAAATAAAAGTAAATTGAAAATAACATTGTCAATCAATTGTACTAAAATTTTTATGAGTGGCTAATGACACTCATTAAATGTCTTCAAGCACACATTTTTGTCTCAAACAATCACAAAAATCCAGTTGATGATATATTTCCATTACATTCATCAAAATACTGAGCTAAGCCAAGCTGAGTGTGGGAAAATAAGAAAGCAAAGGGGGCCCAGCCACAGACACAAACAGATTTTAATACCCAGCACTTTCAGGTGTTACGAGCAACACTGGCAAGTTTTGCACCAGTTTTTCTGGCTGATGAAAATATTCTCTATCTCCTTCTCCCAAATCTTAATTAGACACCATGTGCACAAATCCCCTTCGAAGGACAGTCTGTGCCTACCTTCGTCAAGGTAATTTTCTGCTTTACCTGGAGATGTTCTGGCCCTCTCTTCATGTCCATCACCTCATGGATTTTGAAAGTCATGTACTTGAGGGTTGTTTTTCAGCAGAAGATGCCTGGCCAGACTCTGGGGATTGCAAAGGAAGGTCAGTGGGCATGCAGTGATCAGCACACCCCTCTGCCAGATGGGCATGCCACCCCCCCAGCCTCTCTGGGGGTGCTCCATCACCACCCCTGCGTGGGCAGAACAAGGTGACACCACAGGATCCCTGCTGAATTTCCAACCTCCTGGCTCAGGGCAGGCACTCACGTCCAAAGCAGCCCAGACCTGTGGAAGCTGGCATTTACTGGAGGTGAACTCGGATACCTTCTACGGTTCCATCTTCTTCTCAGTGCTGTGAAAGCAGCTGCATGTGACTGAAGCTTTTAAAATGTTGCCTTTTCTTTAAGTGACTGCATTCCACCTGTTTTTCATTTTACAAGGCACTTCTGGCCCAGAACCTAATCTCTCAGTTTGTTTTTGCTCAGCAGTTTTGGGGTGTTGGGGCGACTCGCCTCCTGTGCTACTCCTGTACAACACGGGTCTGAAAGCACAGCCTGTGCTGTGACCCCAGCAGAGATGTAATGCTCCCCACAGCTCACAACATTTGGAATAATAAGAATTAGCTTACAGCTGCAGAGGACATAGCTGCAGATAAGGCTATTGTAGAAACATTTACAGAGTGAGCTAGGGTTATACCTGACTGCCACTGATGATTGGTATTATTTTAAATTATTAACTATCCCTTTCTTTCTCTGCCTCTGCATGTACTTAAATAGTGATTTGTAGCTGAAGTTGTGATAGGTACATTTGCAGACCTCAAATCAGCAGGACAGCAGTGGTGTGCTGTGCCTCAGACTGAATTTTTCTGCTTTGCTGTCATTTGCGTTTGTAATCATAATTGCCTTCATAAAGCTTTTGAAGGCAAAGTGTGAATAGCACAGTAAGTCAGACTTTTGAGTGATTCATTAGCAATATCTCCACACAGGAAGGACGGCAGACAGCACATACTATTTTGTATGACTTCTCAATTTTGTAGATGCATTCTCTAGTTTTACTCACATATGCACGAGGCATTCTTCACTATGTGTTGTCCAAAGGGATTAATGAGCATATGTCCCATGTAGACTGAACTCATGGAAAATGCCAATCCCATTTAGCTGACATTCCCAGCCAGCTTGTCAAACTCTGGGCCAGAAGATGAGGAGTGAGGACTATGACTTGTGAGTTTTGCAATACTCTCCTTGTTTTAGGGTGCTTTGGGAGGGGAAAAGGGAACACAACCCTTTTAAAACCAACACACGTGTTCTTCTGAGCGCTTAGAGTTTGAGAGGGACTGAAGAAATATTTATGTTTCAACATTATTTGAAGCCCTGTCAGTTCACAGTTCAATGATGTTCCTGAGGTACCCAGAGCTATGCTGTTCCCTTGCAGTTCTTAGGAGCTTGTAGGATTTCTATCTTCTTCCTGAGGCATTCTTTTTTGTTCTGCGTTATAAGTCATGACCTCCACATTTTCTGCTGCTTAAAACAGTAAGCCAGAAGTATGTAAACTTTGTAGCTGGAGGAGGTCTGTGTGCAGAAATATTGCACACCAGCACAGGAAGCAGTCACACATGCCCAAGGCGCTGTGGTTTGAGCACTGCCCCTGGGGGATGAGCCCAGGGCTTCTCTCTTTGCTGGTGGCAAAAGCGCAATAATGCTGCTTAGCTTGATTGTCTTTCACTGCAGGTCGGGTTAAGTCACATTACCTTGCATTGCTGTGGGCAGAACCTTGTCTCAGCTGACTCATGGAAACTTGGTGAACTGTGGTATCTTGGTGCTGAGCCCTAATCTGCAGACTAAGCTAAGATGAGAAGATGGCCTTGGCCACACGTCTCAGTACATGTGAACCAGAGAACACGGTGACAACTGGCAGGTCCCTGGGGACATGTGGCAGTGAGGAGGGAATCTCCTGCCCCAGAACAATGCCCTGAGCTGGGCTGCCTCCTCCTTTTAAAACTCCCCCTTTTTTCAGCACCACTGGTGTAAGATGCAACATGATAGCAATATAGCAGGTGAGGATGGAGGAAGCATCCTTCAGGAGTTTCCTTTCGCAGTTTAGCCTACAAGTGCCAAGTGAGACAGTCAGACTGGTCTGATTGTTGGCTGGACAAGTCTTCCTGAGCACCCAGTACACCAGCACCTCCTTTCATCTTCCCCACGGTGCTCCCTCGATTTCCAGGCGTGGCAGCCCTTGGGCTCAGCAGTCAGATGTCAGGTGCCTGGTGCAAGACTGGTGGAGAAGAATATTTCACCTGCCCTCTGCAGAAGCACTTGGATGCATTCTTTGCTCTGTGTCTCACTAAGCGGGATGTCATGTAGGAGTCGGAAAGTGGGGAAAGTTGGTTTTCTTGGCATCACAGGCAGAACCTGCACTTGGAAATGCAGAGAAACTTGTCAAGTGCGAGAGGGCTGAGCAGTGCTCAGAGCTGCATGCAGAGTTTTCCACTGATTGTGCAGGAGGCAGATAAGATAAACAGCAGTGATACGTCAGGCACGTGGTGCAATGGGTTTCGAGATAGGGCATGACTAGAAATGGCACCTTCTATGTGAGCAGCTCTGTCTGCTGCATATTCTGTCAGAGGTGCTGGCAAAATACACTCCAAAATTAAGGAGCAGAGCTGTTCATCATACCCTGGCAGGTATTGAACAAACAGCTCCCAGGATGAGCATAAGGTTTTGCCTAAGTGCAGCTGAGGACAAACCATCGCCTGTGGGAGTTCATTCCTTGTCATGGTGGAAGACAGAAGAAGGGAAATCTCCATTGACTCTCAAAGCCCAGGTGTCATTTTGCAGGCTAGGGACGGTGGAATGAACATCTCTGTTTTAAATACATAGAAAAGACAGCAGGGACTGTAAACTGGCATGGAAATCAGTGACATTAGAAACCAGAACCACTGCTGAGGGACTGCAAAAGCCAATAGGTGTCTCTGGCCTTCAGAGCAGCAGAGCCATCAGTTGGATGCACAGTCAGTCTCCTTACCCCTTGCAGAAAATATGTCTGCATTCTATGGGAATCTAAACAGCATCCCTTATTCCATCCTGGCTTTTGCTGCTGTTGTTTCCAAATTATCCATACTAAGAAGTTGTTTCCAGGGTGAGGATTTTCAGAGGATAAGGTATAAAGCTTTCCAGCTGTACTGTCCATATCTTAACAAGCTGGAAAGGCCAGATGCAAGGAGCTTCTCATTGTTTCCCACAGGTTGTGTTATTTCAATGTGTAGCTGGGATTAAGCTATCACCTGTAAAATGCTGTCTAATAAGAAAAACAAAGAGCTTGAGTTGTAGTGAACAATGTGAAAAGACTAGAGAAATGAAAAAACTATGAGGACATCCCTGCCTGTAGCCCAGGGTCTGAATTTGCACAGTGAAACCGTCTTAGCAGTAGCAAGCACAGAACAGCTCTTCTACTCCAGCCAGTCAATGGTACCTCCTGGGCTGCTTCAGCCCTGTGTGGGGAGGCTGGGGACTCTGGGTCCTGCCACAGACATGGCCATCTGACATTATCAGGCAGGCTGAGGGCTCCCTTGATCTGGAGGCACACACCAGCCACCCACCCACCCTCTGCACAGTATTCACTCACTGTGCACCTGAGATGTTTCAGATCTTCCCCTCTTGCCCTGATACCAAAGATATTCTCAGCTTCCCAGGGCATGAGCTCAGGGTGTCCAGCTCTCCAAGTCTCTGCAGCCACCTCCCAGTTGCCATTCCCAGCCTCTGTGTGAACAAATAACAAACACCAGCCCTTGACATGTGGAGGAGCCAAGCTTAATGCACTTAAATGGAGCAGCTTCTGATTTGGTTTCCCATCTTTGGCCCACCTGTGAGTACCACACTATTTATTTCTTATCATTAAGTAACGGCAGTATTAAACATTATAAGGGCACACTGAACCTCTGAAACAACTTGGTTTTCATGGTAGTGTACGTGTTTGTTGAGGCACTGCAGACTGAGCGTGCCTGGGCTGCTCTCCCCTGCCCTGTTTGCTCCACAGAGAGCTGGTTTCTCCCAGCAGCAGCTCCTCCCCAAGCATCCCCAGGCAGTGGGCAGGTGCCCCAGGCCTGCAGGAGCACCCAGGTGCTGTGGACCAAGAGACAATTTTGGCAAAGTTATATCAGACAGAAACTCTTCCTGCATCTGTCAAAAACGAGTGTTGGGAGTGTGGCCTCTGGTTTTCTCCTGCCTGGGGACAGGGGTTCCAGCAGTGCTCAGGGCTGGCCTCATGTTCCCCACCAAATGGGATGGCAGGATGATGGTGATCAGTAAACCCCCCTGAAAAAATCCTCTTAGATTCTAAACTTCATTTGTGCTGCTCATTGGCTGCACTCAGAGGGAACATTAATTAAGGGTCCAGTGTGGTAGTTTGGGGCAGAACTTGCAGTTCCTTGCCACCAGCACCTTTTTATTTCCTGTCATTATTCCCATTTCCAAGGCAACCAAATAGTTTTTATTAGTATCCGAAGAAAAAGAAAAATCACATCCAGGGTTTCAATCCAATAAGGATCTAAGGAAGGTTACTAAAGACATCATGCTCAATGTTAGTCATACAAACTAATGTTTCTTTGGTATTTTGTGTTTAATTTTCTTGTTCATGTGGCAGACATGTTTGTGATTTATTTCATTATTTTAGATCCTCTTAGATTTAGCCCTGCTGGTCCTTCAGCTCTTATGCAGAAGTCCCAAAGACCCCGGGAGCAGAACTGACTGAGCAATTACCAGTGAGTTGGGCACATGGTGCCTGGTAAAAATGAAGAGCTTAATTACCTTGGGGATTTTATTTGTGTGCACAAATGCTTCAAGGAGACAAATTGAGCTGCATTGCGATATGTTTATCTCTTCCACTTGCTCACTTCAATTCCAAGCAGTCTTGTAGTTAATATTTGTGTATTCAGCATTATTTTTCTCTTGAACCTGAAGTGACCAATATTGTCTTCCTCTGACAGGAGTACTTAATACCTTCTGATTTTAAATATTGCTGAGTGATGTGATGGATGCAAAAGTAGTTAGACATTTGTGTGCTGGCTTTGGCTGTGATATAGTTAATTTTCCTCACAGTAGCTACAATGAGGGTCAGTTTTGGATTTGTGCTGGAAACGGTGTTGATAACAGAGGGATGTTATCATTATTGCTGAGCAGTGCTCACATGGTGTCAAGGACTTTCCTGCTTCCCACCCCATCAGCAAGGGAGCTCGGGGTGCACAAGGGAGATGGGATGGGACACAGCCAGGGCAGCTGACCCCAGGGATACCCCAGACCATGGTGTCATGCTCAGCATGTAAAGGGGTAGGGGAAAGAAGGAGGAAGAGGGTGACAAGTTCAGAGTGATGTCATTTGTCTTCCCAAGTCACACTACCTGTGATGGAGCCCTGTTTCTCTGGGGATGGCTGAACACCTGGCTGCCCCTGAGAACTGGTGAATGAATGCCTTGCTTTGCTTGTGCATGCTTTTGTGTTCCCTATTAAACTGTCTTTATCTCAACCCATGGCTTTCTCACTTTTGCCCTTCCAATTCTCTTTCACATCCCACTAGAAGGGAGTGAATGAGTGGCTTTGTGGGACTTAGTTGCTGGTTGGGATTAAATCACAACAATTTGTTTAAATTTGGGCAGGTATTTTTGATGCTGCAGAAACTAATAAATTGAGATAAAACATGACCAAGAGCTGAATGGATCAAAGTGCCCAGTTCCTATTTAGGTCCATGACCATTCCACAGGGAGAGCTTTCCCTGTTCCCTCAGGCTGTTGCTTCATTGCAGCACAGAACAGACACAACAAATCGAACTTGTAATGATCTACTACGAGCAGACTCACTGCAGCAGCATGGAGTTCAGTATATCCTGTGTCTTGGCAAAATTAGATACCTCTCTAGATCTAGATGAATGCTTTGTAAGCAAACCTACATATCCTAAGGAAGACTTTTACTATTCAGAAAGGAGAGAGACAACTATGAATTAAATTAATTTGGTCGACATATTTTTCTTACAGCTGTCTAGAATTGCAAGTGTCCTGTGTGTTGTTGCCTCTAGCTGTTGTGATGTGTTAATTTCCCCCCCTGGTTCTGTTGTAAGCTCATCTGGTGGTATCCTGGGTCTCCAGCTGGTTCTCTGCCAGGCAAGGCCCATGGGAAGGACACGCGGAGGCGAGTGGCTTCCAGGCACACCAGGGGCAGCTTTTGGGGACGTGGCCCTGTGCTGCTCCATGCTTTGGGAGTCTGTACCTACTGAGCAACGTGTCAAACCTGCCTGATAAAAGGAAAGTAGATGATCAGGCCACCAAAGAAGACGGAGAATTTGGCGGAGGGTTGTGTATGTTTTGTGCCCCCCAGCACGTGCACGGTTCCCCCAGCTATTAACTTCCAGTTAGGACCTTTCCTGAGCTCTTAGTGTTAGAATAAAGTTTTCTTCTGCTGATAATGTATTTGTATTATGCAATGTACTCAGAAAACAGAAAATTATCTCTCTATGACTGTCCTCTCCTCTCGAGAAGTTCTTCTCCTCTGTACATATGATATGCAGAATGTATGGGAGTCTTACCAGCGTTGGTTTGCATTTTTAAGACTGTACTAATTAATGTGTGATACTATTGTGTTTTTGTAGTGGCATCTTTGATGTAAGATGTAAAAACTATTTAAATTTTTTTTGTTATTGTTCAGCTTTTAGAGATAGCACCAAGGACTGCATGTTCACTAGAATCAGCCCTTTCCAGGGGCTGCCATAGCTGCACGCAGGCACCGGTGTTTCACCCGGCATGTAGCACCTGCGTTCCTCTCTTAAAAGGGGTCAGTTTGGAGTGGAGATGAATTCTTCCTGAAAAGTCTAGTTTTGTCTTTCCCTCTCTCAATTCAAGCTGTGTGATTCCCTCCCACGCTGTGTGCCAGCCCTGGCCCCACAGGAGACCTGGGAGGAATGTCCCCTGTCCCGGGCACCCCGCTGGCATCGGGCTCCCTCACCCCGTGGCTCACTCCTAGGAACGTGGTTTTCCTTGGAACTGCTGGCTGTGCCAGCACAACAACAGTGGGCTCACATTGCAAGACAATTTGTGCAAGTGACTTTAAAATGAATTAACTAAAATTGAGGGGAATGAAGGAAAAGAAGAGCCTGAGCAGCAATTTTAGGGTCAGAATCTTATTGGGGTGCTTAATATAAGAAGAACTTGGGGCCAGTCCCTAAAAGGTAGGACCATTTGAATG